CATAGTAATTATATAACTTTCTCTTCTGAAGTACCTTCTTATGAGCGAGAAAGGAAAAATATGTATCTTCAGTAATGTAGCTAGGAGGGGGTCAAAAACTTTTGCAATTTTTGAAAATTTACAGGTTTCAATGAAATTCTAACTTGCACAGTTTTTATTAGCATAATTTGCTCAGTTTGAACAAAAAATTAAACAAAATAATTTTGAGCCACGTTTGATAAAATTTTGGTTGAGTTTTAGGTAAAGTAACAACAAAAATTAAACTATCCATTTTATTATTCAAGGGGCCATGACATCAGCCATATCAGTTTTGAATCTTTTGAACCTTTCTCATTTTCAAGTATCCCGCCAACATGAATTCTGAATGTTCTGAGTATCCTATGAAAGTAATTTATTACACATAGGAGTAAGAAAAAACCCTTTTGGTTTCATGGACTAATAAACAATTTTTTCTAGAAAAATTGGCACTCTCCCTCACAGCATTACAATACTTTATCTATATTACTACAAAATGGTACTTGAAAAAAAATTAAAAGAAAAATGTGATACAATAGTATTATTTAATGCATTTGAAATTAATACTCTTCAGCTGTCAAAAATCTTGGCTGTTTAAACAGACGAACATAATGGTTAACAATATCAATTCATATTTACAATATAATACTTTGTAATAAAATAAGGTTTTTATACTGAATGTTTCAGGAGAAATGGTAAATTCTATAGGTGTACACATAGGGGTATCCAGGGGGATCATCTTGAAAATTTAAATATTTTAAAATGGAAATAAAACATTGTATTTCCCTTTATTTCACCCTTTTTAACCTGAAAATGGTGGTAATTGTTTCATGACATTTAAGAAAGAGGCTTTCGAAGCTCAATGGCAACTCTGCATATGGTTCGACATAAAATCAATTATGTTTATAAATTGTAATTTTATTCTCCTTGTAGTATGTTTTATTTATATACTAGTAAATGTCATATGTACATGAAAAAGTTTAATAAAAAAGGGAACCCTGCAAAGGAGTTGGCCCCTACTCTCGTTTTAAGCTGCATACACTATGACACATTCTTACAGATGTAGTCATAGAGTATATTTCAATAAGAAAATATTCTCTAAACATATATCTGGTTTTCAATAGCAACAAGTTATAAAATGTTTTAAATATTTCAATATACTTGAAGAGCACATAGCCGTATACCACTTCAGATTGAAATTGAGTTATAAGCAAAATTAGTTAAATTCCCTGACTAACCGTGTTTAAAACAGAAGGAATCTATAACAAACTGTATTGTACCAGTTCTTTCTCTGCCATTTGCAGTTAAAATTTAATACTGCCTTATAGATACAAACTGAAAGGCTGAGGGCCATTTAAAATAAGTAGTAGTCTTTCAATTTTGGCCAAAGCATGGCATATTACATCAACAATTTAGATAATTTCCTTCGAGGAAATTTCACTTCGCCCATGCTTATGGCAAAATGCTTCTGATGTAAGATGACATTTTACTGTGCTCTGTGAAGCCTGTGTTCTATTGTAAAGAGAACTAAAAGTGCATTGAAACCTGCAATTTTATGTTTGAAAATTCATTGTTAATTGGAAGTATTATCATCTGGGATGAAATCAAATGGTTTTCAGGTATTTCAGGTATATGTATATTCTTCTTTATGCAGAGATGCTTTTGGTTTATAAATACGACATAATGTGGAAGAAAGGTATTCAAATTGGAATTAACATGAAGAATGAACAGTTTTCTAAGCATCTTATTTAAAAAAGCTTTTTAAGTGTGCGATGTGATGCCATGTAATAGGGTAATTTTGGACACTTATTATATTTTACTATGTGTGAAATTTTTCTTATCAAGGGGTAAAATCTGACAGTAAATTAAATTTTTCAAAAGCAGTCTTAATAATGTCAAAAAATTATAATATTTTTACTTTAACCTTTATTTACAGAATGCTTTCTGAAAATATAAACTTTCCATTATCTTACCATGCAGTTTTAATGATTTTGACTAAGTAAGCTTTAGGAACGTCTTCTTATCAATAACATCAGGAAACACACAATGACTATTGCAAAAGGGCGAAGAAACTTGATTTCTATATCCTTGGCTCCTATATCTGTCACAACGCCATGTCGCCTGTTCAGAAGTTTTCTTCCTTAAATACATCATAACTGACAAGTACAAATGATTCTTCTATCACTTCCTTATTCTGAGATAGTTGAAGCTTTGTTGTTCTTTCCTTTTGAAGCAATTATTTAATTTTCTTCTAAAATTTCACTTTCCCTCATATCTTGTCCTAACACATTTCCTGGAGGAATGTTAATTTTCTTCTTCTTAAAGACCTCCACAACTGCTGGATATTGGTTGTTGAGTTGTTTTAGAATTTCTTCCAAGCTGCTAATCCATGATATATTTATGTAACTTTCTTCATCTCATGATATGATAATTTACTTAACTCACGCTTTATTTCAAATGGAAGTAACCCAGTTACTTCATAGGCTTTTATTCTGTTTTGACACTGATGACTGCATACTTTAATTAATGTTTGGTTAATCAGTGATGGAAATGTATCTTTTGAAAATGTGCCTTATGTGTACTTTTTCCATTCCCTTAAGACATTCTGCCACATAGTCTTCAGTGGTCTGAAAAGGCAAACTTCTAGAGGTTGCAGTGAAAGGATGCTGTTTCGAGGGAATAAAACAAAATTTATACTCTGACACACACTTTCTCAGTACCAGTTGATTTCAAAATTATTACTTATTACCACAAGAATTATTTTTAACCCTCTTTATTCTGTAGATAAGGTAATGCAATTCTCAGAAAGTCTTCAAAGACTAATTGGTGAAACCATCTGCTTCTATTGCGATTTCCCTTGACTCTGCAGGGTCACATTCCTGACAAGAATCCCAGACACATTCTACTTTATACAAAACAAAAAGAGGAAAAAAGTTGTCACCTGTCGAATGCTCTGTACCCCTTTTCACCCTCTAGTTTTTCCTGGGTCATCACATAAATTAGTTTTGTCATAGTGTGTTGCCATGAGAAGTGTTTTGAAGAAGAATGCATGTTTTCAAAGTAACTTTTAATTGTTATGTAATTTACTTCTGCCTGTGACCTTTTTAAGTTTTCGCTGTATGTAACAGAAATACAGCTGGAATGTATTTTCAGAAAATATGTTATCCCTTCTACACCTAGGAAATTGTTTGAAAATCATCTCTCTTTGAGCCCTCTTTTATCAAGATATCCTTTCACAATGTGTATCATATGTAAACGGGAAACACCAGTGGACAGTTCTGATAATGCCAGTTCTCTCTTCTTCTGGAGTTAGCACAAGTTGACTTTGCTTCTTATTAAATTTGATTGCTATAGTTGACTTTGACACTTCAAAAAATTCTGTAGCCTTTGGTAACAAACATTTTCCTGTTAAGACTACCCTGAAGTAACTTCCAGTATAAACACGGCATCATCTGAAGTCTTTCCACACTGGCACACACTGGTAGATTACTATCCTTAGAACAGATACACTAATGAATTAAAAGCAGTAATTTGTATAGACCTTTGAAAATTCTTTAAACAATAATGTTACATACTTCAATATTATTAACATTAAAAAATTCCTTCAAAAATGAAGAAATCTATTCAGTTGTTTATTATCACTTGATCTTATTATTTATATATTGTTGGTGCTACTAGAGATTTAAGTACTTCCCATTGTTGAACATTTGTAAAAATTATACTTGACGATTTACTAATTCCAATATGAGAAATAAAAGTGGAAGCAAGTTATCTTTAACTTATTATGACAAATGAAATACGATGCAAAAATGTCCAAAATCACTCCAATGAAATGTCTCTTTTGACACTGATGACTGCATATTTTAATTCATGTTCATTTAATCAGTGGTAGAAACAGACCAGTTCCCTCACTAGTCATGAATTAGGAGGATTTATTTTAAGTAGCACTTAAAATAAATAAATGAAGACTTCCTTTCACAGACATTCTGTCTGAGTAATAATTAAAGTGACTGACATTTTTCTTCTGTGATTATGATTTTGAAATCCTGAAATTTTATGGTGGATGTTGATGCACCATTTCTTTGATATAATATTACAAATGTGAAAATTTTTCAAGAAGATTAGAACTTTGCATTGAAGATTAGAAGTATGCATTGTGTATGAATGCACATTGCATGTGATACAAACTACGCATTGATGATATGTGATTTTTACATTAATAAGTGTAAATTAATGCATCTAGTTCATTAATGCAGTATCCACTTTTATAAGATTCCTTTATAAGTAGAATTCATATATTTCTCACAGCTATAACAACACACCCGTTAAAAACCATACATGGTCATGCAACATTATTTATTTGAAAAATTGTGTATGATCCCATCTTTAAATATTTAAAGTACTTTCTGAAACACTTTGTGTAAGGTATTAATATTATCTTCATTATTCTAACATTATATTAACATTAACATTCATCTAACATTATCTTCACAATCTACTCTGCATTGCTGTTTGATCAATTTAATAATTATGAATATTTGAGTAGCATGAAGGAGAATGTATAATGTGTGATACAATATAGCATTAAAACTACTTTTGTAATAAATTTCAAAAATTGTAATTTAGAGATACCTCATGAAACAAAAAACAAAACGTAATACAATTTTATAGAAACTGATAAGCGTGTCTTTCTTCAGAAATAAAACTACTGAAGTGTTATAATCTAATGCAAAATTTCACTTCACAAAATGCACATTTTAGAGTGTTTTATTTACAGTATTAACAATACTCCATACATTTTCTATATCAAAACAAGTTTTTCACTTGCACTTAAATTATTGGCAAAGTATAATGTTTACACTCCTTGAAAAAGTACATTTGTTTATGGAGATAACAGTGTTTGCCTTGTGGATGATGCAGGGGAAGCTTTTAATCTAAAGTTAAGTGTGCCAATCAATTTATTATAATCAAAGTTGCTGATTTTGGCACTTATGATTGTTCTTGTTGAATTTTCAACCTGTTGTTAATGAAGTGAAATGTCAAGAGGTACATTCTGCATTTCCGATCTGGTGTGATATTGGAAGAGCTCTTCTGAATTATTGATGAAATAGTCACATTAAAACATCACCAAGATATATAATATTTATAATTATTAAGTGGAGAAAAATGCATTACATTGAATTTGTGTTGACATCAGCTGAAATTTAAAACACCATCGCAGACTTCCTTTCACAGACATTCTGTCTGAGTAATAATTACAGTGACTGACATTTTTCTTCTGCGATTATGATTTTGGAATCCTGAAATTTTATAAGTGGATGTGGATGCACCATTTCTTTGATATAATATTACAAATGAGAAAATTTCTCAAGATAATTATTTCTCAAATATACTTGTTTTATTACAATTATAATTGTAATACCTCATACAGAATGTACATCAATGTTAGAAATATGAACATTGGTTTTTAAATACCACAGGCATTTTAAGTTGCAGTAAATAACTTGTATTTAACATAATGATTCTTTTGAAAAAGTAGTCTGCTTTACTGCGTATAGTATATGGAATACTATAAGCAATGAAACACTGGCTGTATACATCATTGCATGAAAAAAACGTTATGATGGCTACAGTCAATATTATTAATAAAACCATTGAAACTTGTAAGTTGAACATGTAGCCATTAAGTACCTTATAAATCACACTAATCAAAACACTCTCCAAACTTATAAACAGGGCAAAGTGATTATAGTTTACACTGTACATTATATATCACAAATGAATAAATATTAAAGAATTGACAAAAGTATGTAGCACTTATGTGGGAGTTAATTACCAGCTACTTGCCCCTTGCACACAAAACACAAGTAGTATGCTCTAGTAGGAATTTTAAGGCCTCTAATTGTCAGTAATCTTCTTTCTCCCACATTGGCTACACTCAAACAGAACGCATAAAATAAATAAACACAATTTCTATGTATATTCTTAAGAATTCCGTAAACCCTACAGAAAACCAGATGTTTAACACAAATGTCTTGCTATTACAACTCTCAGAATAAAACAATGTATCACGGGAGAAAATAGTACTGATGTGCTTTATATCTAAAATATGACAACTGGCCATATCAATTAACTGCCAATGTTATTTATATATAAAAACATCATAGTAGCTTTGTACACCAATAAAGCATTTCCTCCAGTCAACCTTGGACAGTGTGTTCCTATGAAGTGATCTGGGATATGTGTTTTAAATCATGTCAGCGTTTTTTGAAGATTTCACAGACACTACAGCAAATAGCACATGTATGAAGAAACATTTTTTCCTAACTTCAGCCCTGTCTCCGGATGGGTGTAGAAGAATTTGTTATTCAGCCACGGTAGTAATAATCTTTGGTGGTGTAATTTACATCATGAAATTATACAACAAATTGCAACATTAATTATATTAATATAAGATTAATAATTTACTTAGCAAACATATCCATTTTCCTGCCGCTACATAAATGGATAGAAAATAGACAATCTAAAACATGACTACACACAGATAAGTGAAAATGGAAGAGCTGCTTATAAATGCAGCATCTGGTGCAAGCTGAGGTGCAGAGTGGCTGACCTAGCTTCACTTAGTCCTTCTCTCTGGGACACACGAAGGAAACACTTATGCATGGAGCGGCAGTAACTGTGTTGGAACGAAATGAGTCCACATTGAAGCCAGCTGCAGCTACTATACATCTTAAGAGTAAGATATCTTAAGTACAAATAAGAAAATTGAGATCAAAAGACATTTTATAACATGAAAGATTATGTGTAACTGATTGGTTGTTTTTTTTGAGAATATTTCTGGGTTTTTTAAATAACTTTTATACTATACTTCTATTCAGTCTTAATGCATAATTCTGTTTAGTCACCTATGTTGTAAAGGTGATTGAGCTGTTTTATTGATCACTATTAATAAATTCCCCCTGATTAATGAAACACTATAGCACTTCAACCACAAACAATATTGTTTTCACTGCACTGGTCTCTTTTATCTTCTGTAGGTCTGTCAACACAACTTGCAATTTAAGTTTATTCACTCTTCAATCACTCAGTGAACATCCTCATTTGAACTACATTGTACATAGTTACACTCTACTTGTTCTTGGAATTTATTAACAATAACCTGCACAAATATTTCGGTGTCCAAATTGTACTATGCTTCAATCAAATTCACTGTCTTTTGTTTCAGTTTCACATCAAATGAGTACTTCAACAGTAAAGTCTATTTTCTCTTTATCATTTTATGATGAACATAGTGATAGGCCTTTTGGCACCTTAAGTAGGGCTAGTTTCCTTCTAGCCCTGAGGCAGGAACTGCAAACATCCTCTTAAAAATTCCAACACCGTCTAGCGAATAAAATTTTTAAAAATTCACTCAGTCCATCTTTAGCACCGAATCCATCATTGTGGAGCATCCAACAACAAGTGCACTGGAAGAGCTGTTGTAGACTGTGCTATGTCTTCAAATCACTGTACACACAAAACACAACAAAAAACAGTGTTCTTGTGACATCCAGCTTGGAAGCCTTGACATATATTGTTGGCATTGTGTTACTTTGGCATCGGATTAATGTTGCAACTCAAATCACACATACACCATGTTTCTTTTCACAGTCACACCAGATGGCCTTCTGTCTCCATTGCTGCTGGGTAGTTGAGGCCTGGGTTAAACGTTGACAATAGAGGAGCTGGGGGGACGGGATGGCTTGAGTGCTGCGTCAAAGCAGCAGACAAATTTGGACCATTCTGGGTTGCATGATTATGCTGCAGGGGAGGGTTGTGTGATACTGTCACATCGGGTGGCACAACAGCTCCTCTATGCTGCGGGCGGCGAAGAGATCCAGTGTTCACTTGTTGTGGCAGGTGACTGAATTCCATCTGGGGCGGATATGGTATGTATCTGGCATCTGGCGAGATGTTGTAATAGGCGCCATCAACAGTGTGTGGAGGAGGGATGTTATTATAGTGCATCTTATTCCCTGCAAGGAATATTAAGAAAAGGATTTTACCTGTTTTTGCTTAGATTTCACAAGAACACTTAATATATTTTATAATTTAGAAATGTTCATGTAATGGTGTGTTATTTCATAAACAATAATTGTTAAGAATGAATAGCTCATTCTTGAAATTGTAGGAATGATTAAACAGTACTTTTCATTACCAAAATTCATCCACAAAATGCAATAATTACCGTACTGACGACATTTTTTAACTCAAAAGAATTATACTCCCTACAATAATAAAATGGAAAAGTTATCATTTAAATATTTCACAAATAACTTATTAAAATAATACGTCTAGAATATAGAATTTCTGTTTATTTGAACTTGTTATTAGGAAGGCAAATACTAATCGATAATTTATCAATGTACATCATGTTCTAAAAATTAGATGCTCTGATGACTTTAAAACTAAATCTAGTATTCTGACATTCATTCTCCAAGCATCCGTACTCAATGATTGAGATTACTATGTGAAACAATTCTACAATTATTTTTTTTCTTTTTAGGTGTTTCCTATGTTGATATTATAATTCATAAATTATTTTTGACAAATGTGTACATAATTCAAACAAACTAATTTTCACAAGATAATAAGCAATTAATTGTTTAAGTATTTTGGAATTTTTTATAACAATTTTCTAATTTTAAAAATTAAGCAAATTAAAAAAAAACAACAAAAAACAAAGAAGAGCATAAAATAAATCTCATTATGAACTTTAATTTCTTTAAAACCATCATCATCATCATCATCTAAACATGATATAAAAATTAAAAATATTTTTCATGATATCATAATTAGGAAAATATCATCTTTTCTTTTATACTTGCTAACTAACCTTCAACAGCATGGTTGTATGTATTTCGAGTCTCAGCGGCTTCCTCATGCAGTTGTTTTGGTTGGTGCTGCATTTCGTAAGTTGGATACTGGTAGGGGTACTCCATTTTGTCAATCAAGTAGGTGCTTGCGGCAGCTTTTGTTCCTTCCTCCTGTGGCAAATAAATTTTCAAGGTAGAATATAATTTAATACTAATTGTCTGAGAATACTGGATTCCACAGTATTGTCAAAGATATTTTTTTTATGGTAACAATTATTACCAGATAATCCTGGTTGCTATCACCATTTGAATAACTTTCACTCTTCTCTGAAACGGAACTTAATGTTTCGCCCGTAACAGTTTCATTGTAGCTACTTGGTGCATACATCTCTATAGTGGCAGATTTGCTACTACTCTGCTCACTTGCAGCTAAAAGAAAACATGAAGATATTTTATGTCTCAGTTTTCATAAAGGCATTATTTCAAGGTAAGAGGAAGGAATCTACTTCTTGATTTAGCAATTTAAATTTTCACCTCTACTTTTGGGGTCAAATACTTAAGTGTATGAAATATCTTCAAAACTTGAATGAAAGGTATAATCAGCATTATAGGAAAACATTTGAGCTCATGTTACATAAATTATTTTATACAATTCATTTGCAGAATTAATAAATTCAAATCGGCATAGTTATGCATGTAATCTATCAATAGTATACTACTTCTCTGATTAAGACAGTAAAGAGAATTAATTTTGATCAGCAGGGATGCAGTTATCCAATCGGAAAATTCAAAACAAAATATTAAGTCATAATGATTGGATAAATGCATCCTAACTGATCGCTGTCAAACCTCTGTTTTAATGAAAGTATAGGCTAATATTATACAGTAACATGAGAAAACAGTATATAATTGAATAAGTAGAGTACGGAAAATAAACGTGAAATTATTTCAACTTGGATAAGTGAATTCATTCTTGGAATCAATTTAAGTTGCTTTGATATGTTACCTTCCCGCATCCTCTTCTTCCTTTTCCTCAAAATAAAGCACACAACCAAAGCAACATTAAGGAGCACCAAGAGAGCACCAGTGACAGATACTCCTATTATGACGAGTCGTGGAATATCAGCTTTGTCCAAGAGAACATCTGGGATAGTAGGCGGCGGTTCAGGCTGATCTATGGAATAAACAATGGGTGAAGAGAACCCACCTGTGAGTCTTTTGTTGGCACGTCTGTGAAGACAGCAGCCTACAAGGAGCACGTTGAGGACGAGAAGTGCAGTTCCCACCACCGTGACGATTATGATCACCAGACTAGGAAGACGCCCTTCACCGCCTGACTGGTAATCTACATCCTTGCTTGACTGAAGAGAAGGGGGTGCCTCACCTGCAGGGGGCATGCAGTTAGTCACAGAGCCAGAAACCCAGACAGAACACCAGGAAAAGACATGAAATGAGGAGCGTTTGATAGCTGACAGTGACATATACAGAGAAGAAATTAGGAGATATTGTAAAAAGCACTTAATAGAAACTTTAATGACATAATAAGGTCATTGCTCCAATAAAAACATGAATTTTTCTTAAAATATGTGGTATTTTGTTTCCATACTCTAGAAGAGCATCAAGAGGCACAAGAATATTTTGTAATAAGATCATATAAATGTTTTGTTTCTTCTGATAAAACAAACGTGTACATGCACTTGCACTAATGCATGTTTAAAGTTTGGATATTTCATTTCATTAAAACTCAAGTGCCACTAAAATTTCACACATTCAATAAAAACAGTTTTTGAGATATGTGCTGTTGTACCCAAATGTCTACATTTATACAAATGTGCATAATGTGTGAAACACACAGGAAAGCTAGAGACAATTACTAATGTACTTTTAAATTAAAATTTTTAATGGAGACATCATAAACAGATTTTTATTAAAAAATTTACAACTAATGTGCTTACTCTCTCATTTGAAGCCTTTTCTTACAAGTAACACAAAAGTTTACACTAAATTCTACACTTCATTCTCTAATTTAAGAAAAACAGTAATCATAATAAAAAATGTATTTTGAAGTTTAAAACAGAATGAAAATAATATTGTTTAGAAATAATAAAATACAACTGGCTAATAAGACCCCAAACACCTAAGAGAATTGCCAGAACGCTTATCTGAATATTAAAATCTTAATTATGTGTGCTTTAATAATTGTATATAATTGTATATTGTAGTTTCAATCATACAATTTTAATGAGATATCTTGAATGTATTTCTGTATTAGAGCACTCCATTAGAGGTACTCAACATTTTAATAAACCTATATAAAATTAAATTGGAGCAATGTTTTGCAGAGACATTTATCAATAAAATCAATGCAATCAATGCATACACAAATTGCAATTTCATTCACAGTATTCATGTTAGTGATAGAGATGACATAAAATTGACATTTATAGACAGTACAAGAAGCAACCACCAAAAAGCAAAGAGCAAAGAGAATGAGGTTTGGATATAGAAGACTAGTTATAATTATAGATTTTTTGTAGCAAATCCTCCACCATTAGAATACATATAAAGATAATATCATTGTAGCCCAGTAAAAAATTTAATGAACTAGAAGACAGCAAAAGAAATAATAACTATATTAAAATTGTTCTGAATTTAATATTACAATAAAAGTGTATTATCTATATTGCATACTATCTTAATTTTTTGTTTAGATTTTCTGTCAAATTTTACAAGGTTTCTTAAACAAAATTTCACTACATGTGAAACAATTGAATGTTATGAATAGAGATCATTGCATTTTTTTAAAAACCTCTAAGGAAAATTGTTAAACAGAGTTTGAAGATACTCACTTGATGTTTTTGCCCGTAAGATATCAGGAAGGTATCTACTACCACCCAACTTATTAAAAGCCATAATGCTGATGGTATAATCTGTGGCCATTGCCAACCCAGTAATGGTATAAGATGTTGCATTGTCATGAGTTACATCAACATAATGATATCCTTCATTCATTATGCTTGTTGGGCGGTATCGTAGTCTATAAGTTGGTTCCATACCACCATTAAATCCTGGTACCCAAGACACTGACACAGAGTCATGTGTTACATTTGTGACTTTCAGATCTGATGGTGGATCAGGAGCTGATGTGACATCCAATCTCACAGTTGTTGTTGAGAAACTTATATTATTCCGAGCTTCACATTCATATCCACCATAATCAGAAGGACGTACATATTTTACAAGAAGAACTGATTCATACATAACCAAATCCAACTGAAAGAAGGAAAATAATAAATTATTAAGTTTAAATCATTGATGTGCCAATGGATTATGTCATAATATATTATTTTCTTATAGTATTTTGCTTCATAAATAGAGGCAAAAATTTATTAGAACTGCTGAAGGTACATAAGTAAAAATCGTATGAACTTGCAAGTCAGATCAGGTATTCACACTCAAAAGTCCAAGTGAAATTGTCAATGTCGGGATAATAATAGATGAAAACACTGTATTAGAAATCCAACTATTTTTGATTGAAAATTATTTTAATTGTTCTTTAAAAATATTTTAGACATTTTTGGCATAAATTGTGGGCTTGTAAACATGAAATAACAATTGTACTTGACTTGACCAATATATTTTCTCCTGGGAATATTTTTTGGTAATTTAATAAAGTTGATGTTAAAGTTAATGATGTAATTAAATACAGCTTACTAGAAAATTTGGGTGTTAATGAATACTATATTTTCACTTATATTATTAGTGGAACTTTATGTAATAGTAGGTTACAATTTATTCAATTAGAAGTTCAATTCAATTTGAAATGTATTCAGCACATACCTGGCGCACTTCTATGAAGTATTTTTCAGTTGTATTAACGGGAATAGGAGACCCTTCCCTGGACCATTTGAATCTTACTGCCGGAGCACCAGATGCTCGGCAAACTAGTCTGCCAGTGTCACCTGTATTGCTTGCTGCTTTAGCAATACTTGGTGATGTATCAATTTCTGGTTTATCTAAATAATAACAATAACTTTGTGGTAGAGCATCTTAAAAAATTAATCAGTAAAGTAATAAATGAATAAATAAAGGTTATTAAAGGATAAATTTTTTTAAACATTAAATAAAATGAATTCAAACAAATTAACATTTGAAATAATTTTTCATATAGTTTCCTAACTTTCAATATAGTGCATTTAACAAATCAATAACAATGAAAGTTAATGTAAAATTCCTAAACAATTATTAACAGCTTCTTACATTTAACAATCAGGTAGATTGATTTGCTCGATTCATTGCCAACTTTATTATTTGCTGTGCACACATATGGTCCATTATCTTCTCTTTTAGGTTTCTTTACCAGAAGATACGATGTGCCATTGCGAAAAGTTCTCACAGTGCGTTGGTTCATTTCCCTTTCACTGAATCCTTTGTGAGACCATATGATATGAGCTTCTGTGAGAGGATTACCATCAGCTGAACAATACAGTTGAGCATCTTCTCCTGGTGAAACCATTACCATTTGAGGTGCTTCTGTTACAACTGCAGCATCTAAAGTTTTAAAAATAATTAATACAATACTTAGAATGTATTATAACAGGATAAATTATTATATGATGCTCTTGAATGCATTGCACATGTATTAACACAAAAACAACACAACAAAATTAACACAAAATGACATGACAAAAAATATATTGACAGCAAATATACAAATAAATTTCATAAAAAAGAAACTGTTTCGCTAAAATGTTTCTTAACTCACATTGAACAGTGATGTTCACAATCACACGAGTTGATCCTTCACTATTTACAGCTTCACAGGTGTAAACGCCTGCATCATCTTTTCTAAGATTTGTTATATTTAAAATGGGGCCCTCAGCAACCACACGGGTATCTTTCTTCTTTGCTGCTACATTTCCATCTTTGGTCCACGTGTATGCAATGCTGGAAGGATTTGCTCTTGCCTGCAGGGCAAGAATAAGTGGCTGCCCTTCTACTCCAACATGTGTTTCTATAGGAGCATCTTCAAAAACAGGCTTATCTGTAAAGAAATTATGTGGAGAAATATTGTATGTTCTTTTATAATTGGTCTTTGTAATTAAGGAGCCATAATTTAAAAAAAAGGACTTAATGAACTTTCCAAAATCCATTTTAAGTTTTATAAATTTATTTTTAATTTGTTTCTTAATGAAAAACAACAACTTTTCAAATGATGATGACTAAAAGAAATTATAATATTTTCTCTACAAATGATGAAATAAAACAAATTAGTACTTACAATGTACGTCAAGAATAATAGCATCATTGACACTTCGTTGGAGAGCAGTGTTTGTTGCTTGACAGGTGTACTTTACTCCATTCATCTCTGATGAAATATCTAAGTGCAGTAAAATGCTTGAAACTTTGCCACCATGAAGACCTGGTCGGGTCACATTAGTGATTCCTGGTACAGCTATTCCATCACGATACCAAGATAACACTGCTTCTGGATTACTCGAGCTGGAGTCGCAAGTGAGTGTGGCACGAGCACCAGGAGTGAGTTTCTCTGGATCTTTGCGTATTACAACATGTTCAGGTGGAACTTAAAAAACCAAAAACAAAATTATAGCATTTAAAGAACAAAGTGCCACACACATACTTTTCTTCAAACTATATGAATAGACTGAATTAAATGATGACTCTTAATACTTACAGTGAACACTTAAAGTAATTGTTTCAAACAGAGGTATCTCTGTGGCTGAGTTTGATGCTTCACACTTATAAATGGCTTCATTATCAGTAACATTTGTTAAAATAGTCACTTCAGCAGAAACTGATCTATCTGTCACTTTTCTCACAGAATTTATCTGAAAATAAAGATGAATATTTCATTACTTAATGTCAATAAAATTACAAATAAGAAAGTAAAAAAGAAGCTGTAAATTCTTATTAGAATAAGGTATTTAAAATTGATCAAAAATTCTAGGTTATAAAAATAAACAATGAGGCAAACAAAAATAATTTTGTGCTTAAGTAAAGTCATGACAAAAGTGTCTTGATAGTGATCCACAAATTCCTAAAGATAAAAACAGTAACAGAACCAACATTAAAAAGTTTATAAATTATACCTTTTTGTCATTTTTGTACCATGTAAGTGTGGCCAAAGGATTCCCTCCAGAAGATATACACGAGATCTTTTGCACAGTACCAGCTGGTACACTTACACCATCAGTGAAGCCATGAATTATGGGCTGACCAGGAGGATCTGTTACAAAATGCACACTTCACACACTGAGACACTTCACATTATTTTAATCAGAAGTATTCATGTAAACCACAAATTGTGTAATAAACACCACAAACTCATGAACTACGATGAAAATTCTTCCTGAATAAAACATTTTCATTATTTATAATTGTTTCCTTTTGGTCTTTCTTTATGAAATACCTATTTGCATTTAATATTTATCTTTCATAATACATCAGAATTTGTAGAAGAATTTACAATACAATTTCTAGTAATAATCTTTTAAGTAATATTTCATTACACATATTTCATGGCCATATTTTTTTATATTTTGAACACTTACATAGGACATTAATTGTGTGAGTGCTGACAACATTTTCTGTAAGTTGCATATTCAATCCATGGCAGATGACAACTAATGATCTCCGATTTGGAGTTATTAACACAGTAATATTGGAAGTTGTAATAGATCCTCCTTCAGTGGACTCAATTACTCGACTTGTTGCATTCCGAATGTGACGTCCTCCTACCATCCATTTCACTTCTGCTGGAGGATTACTGTTGGCAGTTGTACAAGTCAGAGGTACTTGATCACCAACTTTAGCTTCAGTTGGACCTGATATACTGACTTGCGATGGAGCAACTGAAAATATTGTTCATAATTAAACTTGAAATGTCTTGCATTTAAGTGTTATACTATAGTCGACAAGAATTACAAAAAAAGTGAATCTTCCTTGGCTGCTTTAGCTATTGCTATTTAAAGGGTGTGGCACATAAAATCTGTAAATTTTTTATTTAGTGGAGCCCTGTTTTAAGGTCAAATATTTCTGCTCCATAAAATATCACCCCAAGAAGCTTACAAATCCATTACTCTAAGAAAAATGCATTTCTATCCCTCATTTAGTAGTATTTACTTTTGAGTAAAATACACATTTAAGGCTAGTCAGTCATACTTAACAGCAGCTCAACAGTTAAATCAGAAAGTTGGGTTAAAATTTTGAAAATAAATATGTACTTACATAGCACAGTCAATTGGATATCTGCTTTTAGTGGAGCTGGACTCATTATATTAGAAGCTTCACATCGATAGTGTGCTTTATTATCACTTGCATCAGCAGTAAAGGTGTACATATTTTCTGATAGTCTTCCTGCTGTTCTGTAGGCCATTCTGATCTGTTCTCCATTTTTGTACCAAATGAGTTGTGCTGGAGGATTCCCTCCTCGTGACCTGCATACCAGCTCCAATGTTTGACCACGACGAATAATTTCTCCTTCTGTGTAGCCTTCAATGTAAGGAACACCTGGTGGATCTGTAATAAAAAAGAGGTATTCCAGTCAAAATTGCATGTTTGTATTGTGGAAGACACATCACAAGAAAAGAAAAAAAAAAGAGTCTGGAATTGTACAAATTTTAATTTTTACTCAATTATCTAAAAAACTGAAAAACAAAAGAATAGTTAAAATTAAAAAAACTATTGATTATATTTAATGTGATAATATTTACAATTATAACATTAAAAAAATTATGAAGTATTAGTATCCCTTTTTGGGGCTTGGTAGCCAGACTCCCACCTGGTTGCCGAGAAACTTTCTGAGGTCTCTGAGGCATCACACCACTAGGAACCAGGTTCCACACCACACTACCATCTTAGTCTACCCAGTGGATGGTCCACATTACTCTCCAAATCTTATGGTGAGGTAGCCCTTGGGTCCATTCCAGTGCTTGTATCTTTGAGCAGTATTAGAGAGCCAGTTCTAATATCTGGTAGCCCTCTAACACTTTTAAGACCCAGGCATTCAGGAAGGATTAAGGTACAAAGGCAATATATGAGGGACTGAGAAGGAGAGAGAGGATACTTACAGAGTACACTAAGTTGCACTGTGACTCTCAGTGGCATATCAGCTGGGAGAGCTTCATGTCTTGCTTCACAAGTATAATCTGCATAGTCATCTTCTGCTGTTGGTTGCAACTTGATTCTACTTCTCACATTAAATCTTTTTGTTCTTGAGTTTGGGATGGCAACTTCAGTGACAGACTCATGCTTTTCTGTAAGCAAATATTAAAAATTAAATATCAATTCATTCATATGTTTCAATTGAGAAAAAATATGGGTAAATTGAAAAATGTGATAAGAAATAGGGAAAGTAACTGATTTTAAGAAATAATTTTGATTATTGTATTCAAATGTTATTTTGTTTTTGAACATAGAATATTGTTCTTGATTAGTTATTGTGAGGAAAGCAAATTTCCAAATCATTAATTTCTTTAAAACAATGTGCATTAAATTCTTTCAGTTTTATTTTCAGGAAATCAATTGTGTAAAAAGAGAGTAAAAGCAAAAGTTATTGCACAATAATCTTAAAAGGAATATAATCAACAATTTTTAACAAATATTCATGGAGGGTAATCAATCTGAAAATTTGAAACATTTATTCATTGTCATATAAAATATGAAAAAAAGTGTGATGGGTCTGCAATATAGTTGGCCACTAGCCAAAATGAAATGCTATAAAGAAGGAGCCAAAGGAGTTTCTGCAACCCCTTTTCATCCACAACAAGACTGGAAGAGAGCCAGCATAAAATAAGCCATGCCATTACTGTGCTGCAGACTATCTTTTCATCAGAGATGGATGTAAATTGGTTCTTCAAATAAATTTTTTGAACATTCAGACAAGAATTAAAACAAATCTTTACTTTAATATTCACATAATTTATATTTGTGAAATTATTTTTTCTTAGATGATGTTCATTCTTACTGAGAATTGTGGTAACGAATGGCTTAAATAAAAGCTAATTTGTCTTCTTACCATATGTGAGGTTATTTTTGAAGAAGAAAATTATTTTTTTTCATTTTCCAAAGTTTTTGAAGACAGAGAAAATTCACTACTTATTAATGAATACTCATTACTACTATCTCTTTAATTAATTAATCGTTTTTGCAGATGTTACTTTTGGTTTATTTGTTTTGACAGAAAAAAAGTTTTAGAAATATTTTTTTGAGAAGATGAATATGTAATAAATATAAAATTAATGAAAAACCTTTCAACATACCTATTTTAAGTTCTACATTTCCTCGATACCAAACAATCTTTGCGGCTGGTTTGGAATTTCTAACTTGACATTCCAGCTCTAGTTCTTGATTCTCTCGAATTTCAATTTTTGAATTTGGTGGATGATTGACAATCTCAATGGAAGACGGAGGAGCTGAAAACATATAAAATAAAGCATGAGTGATGAAAAGAAAGAGGTAAATAAAAACTGAAATTTTTAGACTTTTTTATTGATTCAGAAAGAAAATTTAGAACATATCTGCATTAAATAATGATCTCAAGTTTTTGTTGTCAAAATAAAATTAATATGTTGGAGATTTAGTAGCATGTTATGCATTATTAAAAAATTCATTAATTTTCTAAAATTTATTTGAGTACTATAATTATCCATAGTTTTATTAATAATTTATTTTTAGAACAATTAAAGTGCAAACTATTTAATATTTAAAAATTTGGTTTAACATAACTAACTAGTGGATAACAAGAGCTAATGTCCAGCACCTAAGACTCACTAGAAATGTTCAACCCATACATATTTTGGGATAAAATAGAATTTATACACAAAGAATCTTATTCCTCGTATACTAAATCAATCAGGGCAAAGGAAGGAAAATGAAGAGTATTCTATGAATTACATATCCATATAAACTAATAGACTTAATCTACACTTTTTTTGTGTTCTCTTCTCTGCAAGTAAACCAAAGTTCTCCCGAAAATTTACATTTTTTTCAGCTTATCTTTCAGAACCCTTTTACCTCATGAAAAATCTGTAATTGCTGAGGGTTCGAATATTTTAACATAACACTTTGCACAAATACTGTTTTCTAAATGAATTTTTTGTTTTTCACATTCAACTTTCCAACCAGAAAATTTCTGCGGCTTCCTTTTTAAAACAATCATAGTGCCTCTTTAATGTAATTCAAAATTTTTCTGTAATCAAATTCTATATTTCACTCCAGAGGTCACCAACGTATGTTTTTTTTTTTTTTATTTATTTTTAAATTTACGATCTGGATAAGTCATGTTAATGTTCTTTGCAGTTCTCTTTATTTCCGATTGGTTTCATCAACGAAGGCGGACAGACTTCGCGACAGACAGAGCAACATAAGAATAGCGGAGAGGGCGGAGGCGTGACGACGTCGCGCCAAGAGGCTCGAGTACGGCGCACCTGGCGAGATCCCAAGCGAGCCCCGCCCTCGCTCCCCCTCTCTCTCTCCTCGGCTGAAATACGGCGGTCGTTCTTAACCGGAACATTCGCCGCGCGATTCTCCATAATTATGACGATTTCTGCGCCGCGATTGGAAGAGCCACCTCGCGGCGCCACCGTTGACCTCCCTCGCTGCCGTAAATCAAGAGGGCGTCGCCGCCACCGCCAGCGCGCTCTAGGAAGCGCCGCCGTGAAATACGCGCGTCTTATCGCTGCGTTCCAGGGGGCCGCGATTAATGAGTTGAGAGGAAGGGAACGGGGTAGTTTGGTTTGGGAACGGAGGCGGTGCGGCGGTAGCGGTGGCGTAAGCGACTCCCGCGAGTCATCAACGACTTTGAGTGGCGGTACACCAGAATGAGGGGGGGGGGCAGTGAAGACTGGCAGTAAAAGTTATTGATATTACTACTAATGGGAGTATGGTCAGTACGGACGCTATCCACTTCCGAAGAAATACTGGGTGCGAACTAGACAATCAGAGTTGGAATGCGTAATGGAATTTAAATTTCAGCTCAAACTACTGTATTTAATACTCGTATCTCCGCGAGTCTCAATGAGAACTCGATTGCTGCCATCGTATGTTGGCAAGAAATAATGAACACTCATTTCAGAGGTACATACGTAATGTGTTTAATGAATTCTACGTTCTCTTTATTCCAATATTGTCTATTAAATAGTGCGAGCAACTTTTTAACATTGATGCCAAATGAATTTGGGGGCCGTGGTCGGCAATTAACACTTACAAATTATTCACATTTATTTGAAAAACGTTGGCTACCTTGGGCCCGAGCCGATTTACTGTTTATTAGGATCGTCGCTCCACCTTCTGAAGAATATTCACACGATATAGTATATGAAGCTAGATTGCAAGATTGTATACTTTGAAACTTCCTTTTTCAGAAATATTATTTAAACGCGTAATTATGTGATTAAAATTTAGAGTACTGCGAGTTTGATTAAAAGCGTGACGAAAATAAACAGCGTTGGCTCTTTGAAATTCGATATTTATGACTTGTTCGTTTACACCAATTTGATGACACAATTCATGTGCATACATATCCTCATCTGATTTTCGATAAAATTTGTATTGATTAATACAATATTCTTTGTAGAAATGATATTGGATCAGCAGATCAATCAATCATGAAAACTGCCCCTAACCTCTAACAATACGCACTAATCTAATACTTCGAAACATAAACAGCTGGTGCTCCAGTCCACATGGCTGGCAGAAGAATACATTCCGCAGAGTGATGTCTTCAGCGATGCTCAATTAATTTTGAACCTGCCAAAAAATCGTCTACTGGCCTAAACAGATCATAAATTCTTCGTATGTTGTCCTGACGTTTTGTCCCAAAAGATCAGGATAGACAATACTTCGGATCTGAAATGTTCTAACAGGAGCAGGGTATGCAATCCTCTTGACAGTAGTGTATTACTAGCAAAGTGGTTGCCTATACTGCCCCTGCAGAATAATTCAATTTTATCTGAGTAATGATGTACTAAATACAGTGATAACACTTATTTCCCCCATGATAACATCTGATATGAAGACATTCTAATAATATGGAATGAGAAAACCAATGCAAAATTATCAGATGTGACGTAATATTATCTTTGTGGCAGCGAGAAAATGATTGATGTAATATAACTAATATGTCCTTTTCGGTAAAAAAAATTAACTGTGTGTGTTTTAATTTACAAATAGTTATAACCTCCATAATTTGTTTCACATTTTAGGCTAATGTATTTTTCTTTACTTCAAATTATATTTCAGATCAGTGTGTATGTATCCTAATTTAGAGCGCTGAATTGTGGAGCAAAATCAGAATAAGTTAAATTCGGTTAACAAAACGAGGGGTAGAATTCTTCAATTAAGCTCAAATTCAACCACAAGCAATAATCAAATGTCGATATTCCGTAAACGAACACGATTCCCTATTTTTTCATCTTAAAATGCAAGAAACACACGGAATTAATCAAAGGCCCGTTAAAACAGATGGATTCATTTTCAACAACACTGTCGTGCTGGGTCAGTTGAATACATAAAAAAATAAAAATAGAGCTTTAAATACAGACACATGCAAATTATTAGTCTCAAAAACTACATTCCAAGAGAGAATGTAGACAGTACATGCTACAATTACGAAACATGATTCAGTATTTTGTATGTTGACCCTTCACTCTAGCATCAATCAAGGGTAAGTACATCTTGGCTATCTTGGCGTGCCTCATACATATTATGAGGTTTGAAGGTTTGTTTATGACTTATTTTGATCTATAATTGATACGCATTTTAAGAGGATTTTCTCAGAAAACAGTTCCTTTGAACTTAGATAATTCTTTTGAAAATACTTCATCAATTTTTTTTGAGTTATTTATGGACTGTTTCTAAGCCATGGACACTGTTAAAATAATTTTCATTACAGGATTCTGGAAAGTGATTTCGAATAATCGAATAGAGTACGTAGAAAAGAAATCACAAATTAACTTATACAGGAAGCTTTATTACATACGTGTGAAAATTAATAAACAATGTAGCCGTTGAAACATTAGGTGATTATACTATTCACTTTTTTATCATTTTGACACGTTTCGTTTTTATTTTTCCTCCCAAAATCGATTAGTATAATAGAAGATTTGTACAATTTGGCTTTCCTCTGATCTATTGCAAAAACCCTACATACCGAGTGCGTAAGCAACGCCTAAACCTAAGGATAATGCTTAAATTAATTCTAAGGCAGAGGCTAAAACTAAGGCTAAAGCAAATTACAGGTAAGACTAAAACTAAGGCAAGAGGAAGGGCTAGGCTAAGACTGAGGCTGAAACTAAGCCTAAGAGGAAGACTCTAGGAAAGGCTCAGGCTAAGTCTGAGGCTAAAGCTAAGGCTAAGAGAAATGCCTAGGCCAAGGCTGAGGCTAAAACTAAGCCTAAGAGAAAGACCGACGCCAAGGGCTGGAGTACTCACAGATGACGGTGAGGCGCGCGTTGGCGCGGATGGCCTTGTGGAAGCGCGCGGGCCCCACTTGGCACTGGAACTCGGCGTCGTCGTCCAGCGTGGCGTTGACGATGCGCAGGTTGTAGACGCCGCTGCGCGCGTCGCCGATCACCGAGTAGCGAGGGAAGCCCGGGATGGTGCTGCTGAAGCCTGCGCACATCACCCCCGTCGTCACCATCACACTGCTCGCCCGCCTCTCGCTTTACGAGGAATGCGAACATTTACAGTCCATTCCTTTTCATTTCACACCTATTTGTCTCTCGTTTCACGAAAAGTCACATGTGAAACATATTTAGGAATATTCCTATTATTTTTCAGAATGTGGGATTACATTCCCCTCCCAGAATCAAAACAAAATCGTTATTAAAAAAAATCAAGTTTGTGTCATTCAAATTTAAAGTTTAGTGACGAAAGTTCATTTACTGCGCACATACAAGAGAATTGTTATAGAAAAGTGACAGGAGAAGAGAAGAAAGGGGAATGGAAGTGCTCTACCAAAGTAGAGGACCCAGGATCGGTCAAGGATCACCGAGCGAGTTTCTATTGAAGGTCCGCTTCGAACTGTGAGACCGGCTATTTTCTTTCAATTTCTTCTACTTCCCTTCCATGCTGTGTTCGTGTTCCCCTCTCGGCCTGCCTGGGCCTAACCCCCCCCCCCGCGTAAGCACGTGAACCCACTCCGCCTTTCCGCGCTTCACGCCGTCCTGCACTCTCCCGAGGGGGCGCTTAGCGCCTTATTCTGCGATCGCGCTTCCCTCTGGGTGGACAACGAGACAGTGTAACTGGGAATGTCCATTTCAAGCGTCAACGAGAATGGGACACCACTTCAAAGCTGAATTCGGAACTCGTTAGCGAGCATCGAAATAATTGTGCCTTCGTATTGCGACAATCGATGGTTATTCTCTCTAAAAGAAACAGTTCTCCAGAGAAAATGCAGACTGATCTGAGCACAATTATTTTTATCACACTTCAGTCCACATAATGTTCGTTTCCGCTAATTGTCGTAAAAATGGCTAGCCACTTTGAAAATTAATAGCAGTTTTGATCATTTAAAAAAACCAATAAATATGAATTATTTTGTGATTAATATAATGCCATCTAACCAACAAACTACTGCTATTTTTCATTGAGTCAAATTTGATTGTAAAAATTTAATGCATGAAATAAACGCAGTTAACATTTCACTGACGACATTTTGCTTCTTTTTGAAACTAATTATTGCCATATCGTCAGTCAAATATTCAACTGGGTACTATGTCCTTTTTGCCGTAAATAAAAAGTTTACATTTTTGATATTAAAAAAGAATGTTTCGCAAACACATCGCTAATAACTACTCCAGAGCCTCGCTCCTCCTTTAGCCTCTCGCCCTGCAAGCATCCCCCCAACCAATGATATTACCTTATCCGCTCCACAAGGCGATAGCCCTCCCCCCTTGCCTGTCGTTGCGGGGTCTTTGAAATTCTCCGCTCGCTCGCAATCCCCGGCGGGGGAGGGGACGCTCGGAGACTCTCCTGAAGAGACGCGGCCCGGCCCCGCGAGCGGCGGCGGGAATAGATTGTTTTAGCGATATTTCCCAACGCCTTGTAAACAGTTCCGACTTCTCGAGCGACTCGGCGACCGGCCTCTGAGGCAGGCAACGGGGGTGGGGTGAAGGGGGGATCGGAGGAGTTGACAAGAAGGTTTCACAGGGCAGGAGGCGGCTATCTGAAGCGGAAGGGCAAAACGTGAGGGGTGGGGGTGGGGGTGGGTGGGGTAGGGGTAAACGGAAGAGCGATTCTCCGTTATCGAGAAATCCTGAAAAAAAATATTCCGATCTCTTATAGACATTCCTCGCCGGGACTTGATTTGTCAGCCACATTGCTGCGGTGGGGTTGCAGTCGAAAAGATGAATGTCGAGTTCGAACTCATACGGGGAATTCATGCGCCAGAATAAAGGCTGGAAAAGTATTTTAAATATTTACAGGTTGAAACTGGGCTTTAGGGCAGGCTCTATTTTCTTGGTTTTCTTCTATAGTCAAATATTTATATAATAATTTGTTTGATATTTGTAAACGCTAAAATTACATGCTAATTAATACGGAATGGTACGCATCAAGAATTCAGCGATATTACGACAAGAATGTCGCAAAGATTTTAGTTGCACGCAGTAATATTAATTCAACCATTCCCAAAACAAGAAAGTTTGCAAATATATTTATAAGCTGATTGATTTCACAATGCAAAGGCGAAAGACTTCTTCCTGATAAAATGAACGAACAAAGTAAAAAGAAAACAAAGAGTCTAGCTACAATAATAGTTTCCTTTATTTTAAGTGAAAAATCATTATAATGCAACTGTGAAACGAAAATTATACTTTCTTGATATTTAATACAACCAATCGCAAGATCCAGTGATAAGTGGAAATACCTCAGAGTAAAAAAGATGAGAACAGTGATTTATGCCATTAAAATCAGTTTTACCAAAATCTGAATTAGTAGGAGGGCGGTAGTAGATATAGTAGGAGGTAGTAAAAGGGCGGGTGTCCAGTAGTATGAAGTAGGAGGCGGGTGTCTAGTAGTATGAAGTAGGAGAGGGGCGGGTTTCTAGTAGTATGAAGTAGGAGGGCGGGTGTCTAGTAGTATGAAGTAGGAGGGGGGTGTCTAGTAGTATGAAGTAGGAGGCGGGTGTCTAGTAGTATAAAGTAGAAGGCGGGTGTCTAGTAGTATAAGTAGGAGGGGGGTGTCTAGTAGTATAAAGTAGAGGCGAGTACCTGTAGGATGAAGTAGAGGCGGGTGTCTAGTAGTATGAAGTAGGAGGGTGGGTGTCTAGTAGTATAAAGGTAGAAGGGCGGTGTCTAGTAGTATGAAGTAGGAGGGCGGGTGTCTAGTAGTATAAAGTAGAAGGGGAGTACCTAGTAGGATGAAGTAGGAGGGCGGGTGTCTAGTAGTATGAAGTAGAAGGGTGGGGTTTTAGTAGTATAAAGTAGAAGGGCGGGTGTCTATAGTATGAAGTAGGAGGGCGGGTGTCTCTAGTAGTATAAAGTAGAAGGGCGAGTACCTAGTAGGATGAAGTAGGAGGGCGGTGTCTAGTAGTATGAATAGGAGGTGGGTGTCTAAGTATATAAGTAGAAGGGCGGGTGTCTAGTAGTATAAAGTAGAAGGGCGAGTATCTAGTAGGATGAAGTAGGAGGGCGGGTGTCTAGTAGTATGAAGTAAAAGGGCGGGTGTCTAGTAGTATGAAGTAGGAGGGTGGGTGTCTAGTAGTATGAAGTTAAAAGGGCGGTGTCTAGTAGTATGAAGTAGGAGGGCGAGTATCTAGTAGGATGAAGTAGGAGGGCGGGTGTCTAGTAGTATGAAGTAAAAAGGGCGAGTGTCTAGTAGTATGAAGTAAGAGGCGGGTGTCTAGTAGTATGAAAGTAGGAGGGCGGTGTCTAGTAGTATAAAGTAGAAGGGCGAGTATCTAGTAGGATGAAGTAGGAGGGTGGGTGTCTAGTAGTATGAAGTAAAAGGGCGGGTGTCTAGTAGTATGAAAGTAGGAGGGCGGGTGTCTAGTAGTATGAAGTAGGAGGGCGGTGTCTAGTAGTAATAAGTAGAAGGGCGAGTATCTAGTAGTATATAGTAGAAGGGCGAGTATCTAGTAGTATGAAAGTAGGAGGTGAAGTAGACGGTGGGTGTCTAGTAGTATGAAGTAGGAGGGCGGGTGTCTTACCTAGCGCGAATCCGTCCTTGGTCCACTGCACCTGGCCGGCCAGGTTGGTGACCTCGCACTCCAGCATGGCCTCGCTGCCCTCGTGCACCTTCACGTCGCGCGGCTGGATGCGGAAGTACTGCTGCTGGCCACTGGCGCCAGGCACTGAAACACAAACACACTTTGATTATTTCGTGCTCCGAATGCGCCAACAGCTGTTGTCTGTCCCACGCCTTGCTGTAAGTGTATAGCGACTTAAAGTAGTGTTTACCCAAGGTCGTGAAATGGAAGGAGAGAGGGACACTTAATCGAGAGCTTCAATATCAAAAATTTAAGTCGAAAAGAATTTCTGATTGGATAAGTGTGGATAAAATGTGTGTTAAATTGGATAAAAGTGCATGTTTTTATCACTGTGGGTGGCGATGTTCCTTCGTCGCTGGATGGGGAGATCCGACACCGATCTTCCGCTAGCAGGAGAATTCACCATCCAGGCATCTCTTCTTGGCGGGGCATCGCCCCAGCCAGGACAAGCTCTCAGCTCCCGACCGGTCTTCCGGCATATGTTGTAATGTATCGCATGTTATTGTAACGGGTGAAGGTAGGACAAGGAAGAGGAAGGAAAGATTGCACGCAGTATTTGTTAGGGTTCTGCTCCAGCATTTGTCTAGTATTGATCGGAGAAACCATGGAAAACTGCCAATCAGACCAGCATACATTTCCGCTCTTGTCACCGGCTGAATTCTGCCTAGATATCTGGCTAATGTCGAAAATCCTGCCACCGTCGGGACTCGAACAATAGGATTCCGGTTAGAGGCAGTGTAGTGACATCACTTGTTGCTGAGAGTCACATCAGCCGGAACAAGACACCTTCCACGCGGTCATCCCCTTCCACATGGTTCTCGGTCATTCACTCAACAGTAGAGAAAATTTATTTTCAATGACCAAATAAGCAACAGCGTCTTCCTCACAAAAATGAGAAAACATTTAAGAAGGGGAAATAATATAAAATAGAATATTTAAATAAAGTTTTCTTATAATATGATGTTATATTGTCAGGCAAACAAGCATGCAAAATGAACCTTATCCATATTAGCTATTTATGGCAAGAATAATTGCATAGATACACAGCTAATGGCAGAGCGAATCGTAGGAGGTGGCAGTAAACTGCAAAGCCGAACACTTTGTTTGCACAATTGTCAAAAATGTGTGACGACATATCACCGATGTTCATGTTGCCAACTACCAAAGTTATTGTATTCGTACAAATTTGAAAACTCGCTCCAAACGTCACTTGTTTTAAAAACATAATCTTATGCAATAAAGCTTAACATTATAAACTAGTTCAATACTACAACATTGAACTATTAAAGACTGGCCGCGTATATAAAAACTCCCAGGGCGTTTGCGTTAAATCTTTGCTAATAGCTAAGCCTTCTACATAACATTGACTGCTGCCGGGAAGACAGCTTTAACTTCACCTCCGTCACTGAACTTGGTGTTGTCTTGCGTTTGGTATCGGTGACAGCTGCTGTACTTTCAAACCATTTGAACTACATGACTGATCAAAAGTAGCTCTAGATGTTAATTTTTTCTGACCCTTCTTTGTTTCATTGTTCGCTCCAGTCTTCACCTGAAATGCACACTCGTCTTTCCGAGGAACGGCTTTCTTCGTAACGGACCTCGCAAATTCCTTGCGGTTGGAATCGGAGATTGACATACCCTACGCAATTGGGCGCCAATCGCGTAACATCGTTGCATAAAAAAGAAGACATGTTGAGAGTGTTGGCAGAGGTCACTGCGTCTTCGTCTTACAGATACAGGTTCGTCCTTTAAAGTTGTTTACTACTACGTGATACATATAGAGCGGGTAGGTTTAAATAATAGACGTTACTAACAGAACTGATCTACAACATTAAGCATTCTATCATCTTCATTCACACACATGCATTCTCTCCGTTTATTGGTTCAAATCCGCATTGGAATATAGATTTTTGAATTTACAAAATCTGAACGTCTCGGAGACAGAAGGAAACGTCCTCGAACGAGGTTTCGACCCCAAATGTTATGCGTCTTTCCCCGAGCCGAGAATTCAGAGCAGAAAAGGAGAGGAAGCGCCAAACCGTAGGAAACCAAGTAGCCGAACCGGAGCACTTGGCACGCAATCGCACGCACTGGCTCTGTCGGTCGCCGAGGGCTCCCCCGTCCGGACTCCGGAGCGCAGTGGCGCTAGCGAGGCGTGGCGAAGCGGGGTGCGCGGGGCGAGGCGAATCTCCGCATCTGGAGAGCGGCGCGCGGCGGAACGTGACGTAAACAGGTCAGCCATTTCTCTTCCGAGAGGCCGAACGGCCGGAGGCTCCAACTCCAACGGCTGCCGCCGCCGCCGCTGCCTCTCGCGGAAAATTTTTCTTGTCCGCATCAAATCTTGAGCGCGAGCGGTAATCCAATGCAAGGGCAATCTGCGCGCGCGGCCCGCGGCCAGCGGCGCGTCCCGCCCCGCCCCGGCCCCACCCCTCGCCGCGCCGCGCCCGCCCCGCTGTAAAACAAAGTTGGCGGAGATGGGAAATTACGCATTTAGCGTCCGTGGGGTGATGGGGCGGGGCGAGGATGACGAGCGCGCGGATGTGGGCGAGCGGGGGGAGGGCGCGGCGCACGGAGCTGCAGGGAGAGGAGGATGCCGGCAGGCAGGCGGAAGACCGAGGAAGTCGTTAAATCAAGAGGAAAGGGAAACGAGGAAGGGAATAACGCAGCATGAATGAGAAAACAACCGGAGAGATCGAATAAAAATTGTATATAATGATAATTTAAACGTAGCACTGTCAGCAAATGATAGAACTAATTCCCGCGCGGAAAAAAACGGGGAAGGACAGTGGTGAGAAAACGTGCCGGCGAAAGTGGTACGGCAGTATCAAAAAGTACGAAAAAAGTACATTACTTTTTTTGATAAAATCATCTGGTTTTAGGTACGAAATACTCGTCATTAAAAGAATCACAGATTATACTGTAAAATATCTAATGTTCTCCAGTTTTTTATTCATTAATTACATTTGGTTATGCTTCTTTCCTAGGTTGAAGTAGAAAATACAAATAAGAGACGGAGAAACAAGACGAAATGGAAACTTTAAAAGATTAAAATGAAGTATCGGAATAGTCAAAGCTTTGAGTATTTACATTAGGAAATGTAGCCTGGAGCCGCCGCAGGGGGGCAGAGCGAAAACGGACGACCGGGGCGGAGAGGAGCAGGACAAGATACGACCTTCAACGCACACATAGCCATCCACGACACACTGACGGCACGCTGTGATCTAGTCATGGCGAAAACGTTCATAGAGACAAACATTTTCAGAAACTGTTCTTAACACATATCAAATATGTTTTCTTCAAATTACTAGAAACTATAAAAAAATTACAATTTTACATCCATAAGATATATGTATTAGGTATCACGATATATATATATATATATATATATATATTATATATATATATACTATATATATATATATATATATAAATATTCAAGAAAAAAAAATAGTTAGACGAAAAAATTATCTCTGCTAGAAAAAAATATAACAAGACGTCTAATTGACTACACCTTAATGTCTAAATATAATTTTTATATATTTATAAATTATAAGTAATTTTATATACTATTAAATATATTTTTTATCTTCCAAAGAGTGTTATTTATGTTGTCTTTCATTAATAAGCTATACGCCAAAGCGTAGTCTCCCAACCCACAATTTGCTTCAACAAGTGGACGGCGTGTTTGCCGTCGCAGAAAAAGGCCGCAGGCGCGCGGAAGCCGCGAAGAAAGGCGGCGGGCATGCACGCGTGGGGCGCGCCTGGATTATTTACGCGAGCAGATTGGATCGCGGCTCGCGCCGCCCAATTAGGCGCAGCGTCCGCGCCCGGGAGGCGCCCGGCCCGCGTGCGGTGCGGCGCGGGAGTGGGCGCCGGGCCGATGGAAGGGAGGGGCGAGGGGGAGAGAGCGCAAGGGGGCGAGAGGGGAGAGGGGTGTCGAGGACGAGGGCGGTGAGTGGGCGAGGGATCGCAGGGGAATCCGAGGGGGTCGAGGAGATCGAGGGGGTCGAGCGGGGGTCGAGGGGGTCCGAGGGGGTCGGGGGGAGCGAGGGGGGGCAAGGGGGCATGGGGCCACATGGCGCTCAGGATGAGGTGAAGCGTCAGTTAGAGGCGCACGTATCACTCACTTCAGCTCTGCTCTCGGGTTTCTTGGGAGCTAATGTTCAAGTCCATATTCGTGACGAAGACACACGTTCACGTCGACGTTTCATGAATAAGGGAAGGAGCGATGTATGGTAGGGAGGTTCGGATGAGGACTGGAATCGTTGGACGTATATAAATGTCTTCATCCTTTTCCTACTTATTCTTTTACGTATATCGACTTACTGACATATCAATTACTAACTCCTACCTAATTATGTTCCTGCTAGACTGTGGTTTTCTTCATATTATTTCCAGTTATTTTTCAGTACTACAGTACACATATTTGGTTGAGCAATTCTACAAATTATACTTCCAACCTCAATTAAATAACGTTTTTTGTAATTAAAGATACGTAATACAAAGCATGTTAATATATTAAGAACACGTCAAAGTGTAATAAATCAGATTATGGAGAAATGTATGACCAAATAATACGAGAAAACTCTGCAATTGCCGAGTGTCAACGAAGAAAAAGAATATCCAGAGAAAAAAAAATAGCAGCAGCACGTTCAATTGCCCGAAACCTGAGCCTCGTCGCAAGCACAGCATTGCGGCGACGGTGGGCCGTGACACCGCGAGTGGGCGGGGAGCGGGGCAGGGGAGCGGGGCAGGGGAGCGGGGCAGGGAGGCGGGAGCGGACGCGGAGAACGGCGGAGGAGGCGAAGGATTAGAAGATGTTGACCTAACGAACTTCCGCAGGGGCGAAGGGATATCCGAGTGGCGGCGGCGGCGGGAGGAGGAGAAACAACCAATCCGGCGATGGCGGCGAGCCGCCCCGCATTGTCTTTGTAGATTTAGGGGTCGTAAAGGAGGCAGCGACGCTAGCGCCGCGATGCGGCAGGCAGCGCACGTCCGACTCAGCGCCGCCGCCGCCGCTTGTATTGCGACATCAATACGTAACGCTGGAGTCTCCCGCCGCCCACTCCGCCCGCGCGTCTCCCCCACCCACTCCGCGATCCGGCTTGCACAGCGCCCTCCGCTCCCACACGGCTGCGGGGGAGGGAACTGATTGGCAGGGATAATTGCAGTGCATCGATGATACGAAGGAAAAAAGTTTATTTGAATGCGATCACAACACATGAACATTTACAAACAAAATCTACAAATGTTTACACATTGTGGGAAGCAGTGACAGTTCTACAAGGTTGATGAAAAATAAATAGTGTCTTTAGAAAATTATAAGGGAAAATTTGCGAAAAATATTTGGTGCATTTCGGACAGCGGTATTCTATCGGGCTATGGCTACCAAAGAAAAATTTAACTACGAAGAAGAATCTGATATCTAGGAGATGAATACTAAATGCAAAAGTCACTACCAATAGTTTTAACTGCGGATTCATGGAGTATGGAGCATTATGCAAATATTATCAATCAATATTATCTCGTTAATCATCAGTGCATGATAATCTGTCAGACATAGCTTTCTTTTATTTATATAAAGATTTGCGAAGGTTACGTGATTTTTTCTTTCAGGAGTACTCAGAAGTATGTATTATTTTTGGTCTTCGTTATTTCTGTTCCTTCTTTCGCATTAGTTTTCCGACTTCTTTACACACTCACAAATTCTACGATTTAAAATTGCGTAATACATGCTATGAATAGGAACGGATTGAAATTACTAGGAGTTTGTAACTCTAGTTCATTTCTAGAAAGTTCTATGTAGCAAGGAAGATCATATGCAATTTAATTCACATAAAAAGTAAGAAAGAGAATAAGTATTTTCTCAAGGTTTCCCTCAATGACGCACGCCCTACTTTACGTATAATTCAGAAAATTGCTTCGAGACTACCTCTCTTCTGAATCTCATTCACAATCCCCCTCCGCGAAGACCTAATTCAGACTCTGCCACTCTGAATGCTTATCTTATTGCACTTCCGATTTTCGCTCGTAATGCGGTTGTAAAAGTTGGAGCTAGTAGTTACCTTTAGTAATAGGATTGAGTACGCCTAGTGTAAGAATTTGAAGTTATTTACTCAGACTAGATATTACAAATACAAGTAGGTTTAGGGACACGTAAATTTGAATGAAAAATACCCTTCATTATAAATAGTTTAAATTTAAAGATGATATTTTGGAAAAACATCATGTTTTTAAGTTTGTGACGGTTTATTAAAATTTAACTTGTAATAAAAAACAAACTCATAAATTAAATGGAGATTTAAAAATTTGAAAATGGTAGCTGTTTCTCAGAGTATGTTTTGATTTAAAGTTTCAAAACTAACACATTTGCGAAGAGAATATTCTTTATTTTCATCTACGCACGGTGAAAAAAATTCTTTACGAGTTATATTTTATATTACAATACTATTTTGAAACTATTCGCTGTAAGGAAACTGTACTTTCTCACCGTCACACATATCACTTGGGAATTGGGATAACCGTGAAACTAACCACACCGCGTTGAGATCCAGTATTTCTGTGGTTGCGTTAAAGGACATTATGATATTTTGCTGTGACAGTTTCTGCTGATTACACAATCCAATCACGTGATTT